AATGTGATATTATGAAATTATTGTGCTGATTGTTTTGAAAGAAAATATTATTTAAATAATCCAAGAAAAGTTTAGAATTGTTAAAATGGCTTGTTTCTTTAAAAATTATGTTAAATTCGTATACTGATGTTTATTTTGAATATTTACTTTAAAAAAATTTTTTTTTATGTCTGGGATTATGCTCTATTTATATTTAATTTGCTAAATGTTTTAGCTAGTGCAAATTGGTAAAGCTCAATCAATTAAATTTTAGTATAAATATTTTTTTCGTTTAAAACTACAAAATGATGTTATTCGAACTATTTAACCTAATTAGACACCTGTTGCCATTTTTAACCTAATTAGACGCCTGTTGTATCTCTGTGTATCGTAATCTGTTACGCGAACTCTAGTTTCAATGGTACCAAATGGATTTTAAACTTTCAAATTATTTTTAAAAGAAATGTAGAGGTTTGTTCGAAGGTTGCGAACAGTTATATACTTCATGCTGTCTCTTTTCTTTCTTTTTTTTCTATTTTTCGTGGAAATTGCCAATGCTAGGCTACTTTTTTTCCCCAGATCAATGTACAAAAATCTTCTTAGAGATTCAGAAGCAAAATTTAAAATAAATAAATTAATAACATCCATTTTTTCCGCTTAATTTCTACACACCTTAGTAGCACGTGTATTCTATTTAATATTTCCAATTAATATAGTCTCTCACAAATGAGAAATATATGGCGCAATTATTATTGTTAATCACAGAAGAATAAGTTTCTACCAACTTTGTGTGTCGCGTTTTATTTACGGTTTATCCCCTGCTTCAAGTTCATTTTTTGAGCTTTTCTTGTAATGTAGGCGTTACTCGTTCGAGAATGAAGTAAATAAGTCCCACGTGTACCACTTTTACTACTTTCTTTTATATGGAATTTCGCTCCGATGTAATGAACTTTCTTCCTGTGTTTTAGATATCTTATAGGGGAGGCAATGTTACTCGCGTCCGTGATATTCTTAAATCACACGTGCCTCCTGGGTGGTGCTAAATGAGTAACGGCGATGGCTAAGGCGATAAGTACTTATACTCCTTGTTTATGTCTACTTGACCAATGTATATGGATTAATACTTCCAATAAAGCCATATGTAACAACAACAGATATCTTATAGTCCGAGGGTGTAAGTACCTCGTACAAATGTTTCACATAAGCCTAAATCATTTATAAGTAGTAAATTTAAATCCAATTTCTAATAAAAAATTATTACCAGCTCTTGTAACTTTAAATTATTATTATTATATTTTATTTTATTCCTCGCGCGGATATCGATTAACTTTGTTGAAACTCTGTACAGAGCTCTATGATAGTAGGTGACTTTGCCTTCATTGATCGTATGAGCGGGTTAATCATAAGTATCAGCTTCAATAGTCCCAGCGGGTTAGGTAAAGGTAGGCTAAAAGCATTGTTTTTGCGCATATTGAGGGAAACTGGCAGCCGTAGCCTTGTAGTTTTGAACCGTTAGCTTGTTTTGTTCTGGTTATGAAATACTTGTCTGCGAAGCGTATACCTCACTTCTTCATAAAAAGGAGATAAATGCCTGAGGTGGACTGGAAAATTAGCAATATACTATTAAAATCAGTTACTGACGGTAAATTTGCATCATATGCAAAAAAGGAATTTCAACTCTTTTGATAAATATTTTTATGTAATTTATTAAGAAAAATTTTCATTCCTAACAAGAAACTAAAAACTAATTAGGAATTAATAATAACTACCAGTATTATTAAAAAAAAAATAATTGAATGATTTGATTGTAGTTGTATTCGAATTATATATATATTAAACAATATATCAATCATCTAAACCAAAAGCTCTACGATATCTCGGCACGAAGAGGTGTCGATCTGATCGTGTGAGCAAGATTTGAGAGAACGTTCGGCTAGATCCAGATCGGGACTGGACGTAATCGTTTCGCTTATATGACTATTTTTAATATTAAGTTGATTGTTTACATTTAAATTAAGTCACAATAACATATATATTTCATTGTAAGTAACTAAGTTAAGCATGAGCATGCTGCTAAGCCGATTGACAGCGTAACTTCTACGAACTAAATTACAAACTTATTATCCTCTAACGGATATCATCTTAATATGAGTAGAGTAGGCGTTATTTCACTGACTGCTAGAGTATTTACGCAACTGATATTTAGTACTTGCATTGTTAATATTTGAAAGTACCAAAGCAAAGTAACTTTACTGAATGCATTATAAAATATATGCGTCCACTTAGTCCTACTTAATCATAAAAATATAAATTCCATCAGAAAAAAATTCCAATGCCAGAGATGTGCATTAGTCATTCAGACTAATGAATAATAACTCAAATCCTTCAGAAAAAATAAATAAAAATTAATGTATAAGTACGAAGCACGAAGAATAAATCATTCATTATTTTTAGTCTTTATTCCTCATTCATTTGTCAAGAATAAATTCAAAATGAATAATTTCTTGAAGAACNGCCAAGGGAATATAATGAAATATTTACTGTTAGTAATATCGTCGAACAGTGCACACCTACGCATCATTTTGGAGCCTGCTCGATAAACTAACTCAGTAAGCAGTTCCTGTGGCGTGGCTGTCACGCAATCCATTTTTAAATTATTACATAATTCACTTTCTATTTCTTTAATATAAAAAGTAAAATTTATATTGCACAATATTATTTTAAATGTTATGTTTTATATATTTTCTTATTAACAATATTTACGTCTCCGGTTCGAAAGGACCATATATTTTCTGAGCCCATCTTGAGCTTCCTTCTGTTTTCTGCAGAACAGATCGGTGGGCATGTAAGTTAAATTCTCTGAGTGTTTTGTACGGTGATGTTCTATTGGACTCTAGTGGTACATTTACTTTTTAGTTGATAGCAAGATAAGTAAAACTTGTTGAATAAAGTTAATTACGCCCGCTTTTTAAAAGTTTCACTCCGAGATAACTGCTTAAATTTAGATTTGTCCTGGTTACTCAGTGATGAGCTCTCAATATAGTGGCTATTTAGCGAGGTCGTCCGATAAAAAATTCCTAATATGGAAACTTCGTCAAATCAAGTAATTCAGATCAATGATTCAAGTCAAGTTATTGAAATCGCCGATTCGAATCATATGATTTAGATCAATGATTCGAATTAAGTGATTAAGATCAGTCTTTCAAATTAAGTTATTCAAAACTCCGACTCAAATAAAATGATTCAAATAACTGATTCATATGAAGAGATTCACATCACTGATTCAAATCATGTGATTTGGATAGCTATTAAATCAAGTGACTCTGTTCAATGATTCAAATCACTGATTCGAAACATGCGACTCTGATCAGTGAATCAAATCAAATGGTTCAAATCAAATAACATGACTTAATTGCGAATCTAATGCTTCAAAAAAAATCGAAATTGCTAAAAATTCAAGAAAAGTTTACTTAACTATCACTATTTTTCTTTTAACTAATGTCGATAGAAAATAAATTATTATTCTTTCTCATTAATGAATTTTTTCAAATAAATAAATATACTTACTATATATTTCGTATAATTATATTGCATATGTTGCTAATTGGTATGAAGACTTTAAACTAGGTAAAATTTAAGAAACTACAAGCGAAATATTTTATATTTTTATATTTTTATTTATATTTTTATCTGAATCCATCGAATCCTTTAATTGAAAAAATCTCATGTCCTTGATAATGGATGCGTATGAATCTCTTAAGTTGTACAAGAAATTTTTTAATTTATATGACAAGCCGTCACTGTGAAACAAAACTGACCGAAATTTAAGATGCAATTATTAATTATAATTTAAATTTGTACGATAAAAACAACTAATTCGGATAACAGATTCGAACCACCAAAGTTAGCTGATTCTATTCATTCGAAATCACTTAGAGCAGCGTTTCTCAACCTTTCAGTATTCGCGGCCTAGTTTTCAATCATAATTTTCATCGCTTCCCCCACTTGCAGTAAAATGTATGCAACAATAATGTATATTGAAAATTTTTAATTCTGTCTTTAAATTATTTTTAACTAACTACCAAAACAAAAGTAAAGTAAAAATCAGCAACAATTGAGATTGTAGAAACTATGTTTGGAGTTAATTTTTCAAAACAATTACAGTCCATACCTCTTTCAAATGATACTGTTGCTCGTCGAATTGGTGATACAGCTGAAAATGTAGTGTTAGTTTTTCTCGATGTTGCGTGACAAAATGTTTTCAATAAACTTTGAAGCAAGAGATATTAATAAAGATACTCCTTTCATTGCCTATGTTTGATTTTGTGATAATATGTCAGTAGAACTACTTTTCTGCTAATCAATAGAACTCAAAACAACAGCGCTAGCATTATTTGCTATTTTAAATGATGTTATGAATGATGCAAACACAGAATGCAAAAATTGCATCGGAATATGCACTGGAATATGCATCGGAATATGCTTGTTCCATACCCGGAAGGTTCGAAAGTATTCAGGCACTAGTAAAACAAAAATCGCCTTAATGCGTCTGGACACATTGCATGATCCACAGAGAAGCTTTGGGTTCGAAAGAAATACGTCCTGGTTTAAATATTATATTAACTGCTGTTGTAATCATTTCAAATTATATAAAAATGAGAACCCTGAGATCGAGAATCTTTTCAGCTCTTTGTAATGATATGGGTTCAGTACATTCAGAGTTACTATTTAAATGTGAGGCAAGATGTTTATCACGTGAGAAATGTTTGCAACGTGCTCATGAATCAAGAGAAGAAATCGTTATTTTCTTAGAAGATAACAGACCGGAAACCGGGAATTTACACTATTGTTTATTTGTGATGAAATTGAGATACTTGGTCGTCATATTCGAGAAATTAAACAACTTGCATATTAAACTCCAAGGAGCAAATACACATATGTTGGATACGAGTGATGAAGTTAATGCTTTTTGTAGAAAATTAGAATTGTGGGGCAGAAATTTAAAGCAAAAAAACCTGACAATGTTTGCAAATGTGGATAATTGTACTAAAACTTATAAAGCTGAAGAAGAATATATGAAAGTTACGTTTGTAACCATTGAAAATCATTTAGCCATGATGGCAAAGAATTTTAAAAAGTATTTTCCTGCTTATGACAAACTGCTAGCAAGTTACGAGTGGGTTAGGTATCCATTTCATAAGACTCCCGAAGGACTCTCGATTGATGAGGAAGAAAAATTCATAGACTTCACGACAAGTGGCGAAACTGAAATGCAATTTAGTAATAAATCACTATTTGAATTTTGGCAGGAGGAGGATTTTTCTACACTGAAACAAAGGGCATTTCGCATTCTATTACCGTTTTCAATATCCTACCTTTGTGAAACAGGATTTTCTGCTGTGGCTTCTTTGAAGACAAAATATAGATCACGGCTAAATATAGAAACAGGACTGAGAGTGGTTATTTCCAATATTAAGCCTCACCTCTAAAAACTTTGCTCTGCAGGACAGACCCAAGGAAGTCACAAAAAATTATTAATTTTTTTTTAAAAATTTAGTATGTTTGATTAAGTAAGGTGGGTAAGCCAAAAGTGGCCAGTGCTCCTAACGTAGCCCCCCCCCCAAAGTAAAATGAAATTTATTTTGAATCATAAGATGTCCCTTCTGCATTGTAAATCTTGTATCTCAGGTGCACGAGGCTGAATTTGAAGATATTTCCTTCAATGGCCTCCATTGTATGAAGTGATTTAATTATTTGCAGTTGTCGTTTTAATTTCCAGGTGAGAAGATAATGTGTTTAAATTCTTAGAACTTTGAGTTATAATATGTTTTCTGAAAGTTTATTTCTTTTTCTTTAACCACATTACNTACTTGACCAATGTATATGGATTAATACTTCCAATAAAGCCATATGTAACAACAACAGATATCTTATAGTCCGAGGGTGTAAGTACCTCGTACAAATGTTTCACATAAGCCTAAATCATTTATAAGTAGTAAATTTAAATCCAATTTCTAATAAAAAATTATTACCAGCTCTTGTAACTTTAAATTATTATTATTATATTTTATTTTTTTCCTCGCGCGTATATCGATTAACGTTGTTGAAACTCTGTACAGAGCTCTATGATAGTAGGTGACTTTGCCTTCATAGATCGTATTTAGAGATGGGCACAACTGCTACTTTTCAGTCACTGTTACTTCTGCTACTGGGATCCAAAAGTAACAGTGACAAATAGTAGTGACTGTTATTATTTCGATATATAATTAATCGATATCTTATATCGATTAAATGTTTTCATTTATCAAAACTTTGTAAAAATTAGTCGATTAAATATTTTAATTAATAATCGATATGATTAGTTTTTAGTTAATTTAATCGATATAATATTTTTGTTGCAAAATTAATCAATATAATTAGTTTTCAGTAAAATTAATCTATATCATCAGTTTTTAATCCAGTTAATTAAAATAACTCATCTTTATACTGAGGAGTCTTTTTTATGGAAAGTGATGATTTTTAATAAACAATGTATATCGTAGTACGCAATATAGTAGTGTGATTTTTAATAACTAATATGGGACCTTATTTAATTCTTGTAAAATGTTAAAATAACAAAATCAAAGCTCTTATCTCAGATGAGATATTAAATAAAAACTCATAATTCATCGCGTTACTAATATTTTCATAAGGATATTACAGTGAAAATCTAATCTAAAATTTTTTGTAGTTGAGCATTTAAAAACGATGAATGATGACATTAATTCTATACTTTATGTTATAGAATTCTGATTTCTTCATTAAATGTACAGTAAAATGCAAACTTAATCACAAGTAAATTTTTAGTAGTGTTGTCAAACAAAAAATATCACCGTATTAATAACATTCTTCATAGCTTTTCAAAATTTCATGAAAATTTTTTCTGCTTTATAAAAGAAAAGAATGCATGGTATGAAAACGAAAATTTATTTAATTTTGTTATTATGATGGGGAATTTAGATATTTCCATAATTTTGCGTTTCTTTTATCCTCGGCTGGTAGCATTAATTTCGTACATCAGGATCTGTTATAAGAGCCAACAGATGGCGCCACTAAACATTTTCTTTTATATTTTGCTTTTCAGAAAGGAAAAATAAACACTATGTTTTAATTTTTCTAATGTAATAAAAAATTGAACTGCTTCATGCAATTATTATTTAGCTGAGTTATGTTAGTTATGTTAGCTGATTCTATTCATTCGAAATCACTTAGAGAATTCGTTCTGCCCAAGTCTAATTTATAAGATATCAGATGTTAAAATTTTCATAGATAGGAGAGTTTCAAAAGAATGTTTAATTTCTGAGACTTACGGCCAAGGGAATATAATGAAATATTTACTGTTAGTAATATTGTCGAACGTTGCACACCTATGCTTCATTTTGGAGCCTGCTCGATAAACTAACTCAGAAAACAGTTCCTGCAGCGTGGCTGTCACGCAATCCATTTTTAAATCATTACATAATTCCATACCTGCCAACTTTTAATCCCTTCCATTATCATTTTTCCCAGTGGTATTAAAATGGAATTAAAACTTCAATTTTAAGCAAAACAAATATATTGTATTTGAGAAAACTTATGTTGACGACCATGATAGTAACGCATATTAATATATGTGCTTAATTTTTGTAAGAATAGTGGTGATCAAAATCATTTAAAAATTAAGTTTATAAAAGAAAAAATAGTATATATATACTACCACTTTAAATATGAAAACAAAATCTTGCGGAAAATCCGGAAGAGTTAGCAGGTATGTGACTACCATGTAACCCATATTAATATCATGACACATTCCTGCCAACTTTCACTCTTTCCGAGAATGGATTTTTAGAGTGGTTGTAAAACACTAAACGAAAAAACATCTGACCCAAAACTATATTTAAATGTTGATCCCGTTGCAACCTTCTTTAATTAAAAAAGTAAAATTTATACAGCACCAGTAATATTTTAAATCGTAAGTTTAATATATTTTTTTATTAACAAATTACTTTGACTCCAGTTCGACTGGACCATATATTTTCTGAGCCCACCTTGAGCTTCCTTCTGTTTTCTGCAGAACAGATCAGTGGGCATGTAATTTAAATATGAATGCCTAAATTCTCTGAGTGTTTTGTACGGTCAACTTGTAATGTATCGGTTTATATTTAGTGTTATATGTTACGGCATGTAGAAAATGAATAGAACGAAATATCGGGCAGGTATTTATTGAACATTACACGGTACGTCAGGGGTGAAAGCGAGACGGAAAAGAGGAAAGGCTGGTAGTAAAACCATTTCAGTTATAGCTAGTTTTGGGGAGGAGTTTACTTATTCTTTTTTAAAATTTTTCAACAATATCTACTTTATCTTGGAAAAGAAGCAGTTTTATATATATGCCAGAATTATAAAAGAAATCTTGATAGTTACAGAGATTTCATTTTTTTTTTTGTTGAAAAAAATGCTGAAATGAAATGTTTTACGTACCAGGTTTTTCTCTTTTCCGTCTTGCTATATAATGGCTTTCACCCATACGGTACGTGTTCTGAGAGACAGAGAGCAACTACTTCCTTTTTATCGCTCTTTGGCCCGCCACTCTGTATGTTATGTTGGAATTGGTAATCTGTTTAAGTACCTGGACGTGCGCGTAAAAGTTTTTTTTTTTTTTCGTGCATGTAAAAGTCTTTATTGAACAGACGATCCATTTTTTGGGGGTTTACGACTACTAAAGTTTAAATTCCGTATCCTTGTAATATTGAAACCAATCCAGAAAATAATGGAACTTCTACATCAAATATTGGGAAACACTTGCCATTGTGGAGGAATATTTGATGGAACTAACCCGCATTTGTGTTACATGGAGAGGAAGACAACGAGAATCTCCCGTCGTTAGCATGAGGGTAGGGAGATTCTAACCCATGATCCGTCTACCACTGAGGACATTTCACGTCATCATTGTGGTCCGCTCAATGCCGGATGCACATTCGAACAGCTATGGTTGGGATTCGAACCGGGGTCACCTCATTGGAAGTTGAGCGCTTTATCTCCTGATCTTTCGCTGCTCAATGCCTAGGCATTGTAGACAAAACACGTTTGAAAAAAAAAGTGATAAAGCTATTATATCAATAAATGACATGCAGTCGTCAAATATGGAAATGTTATTCTGAAGAAATGAGAGTGCCATTAAAAAAGTTTATTCAAAACACGTTTTACAAATACAAATTATATGTTTTTTTATCACGAAAATCAAAATTTCATATAAACACAAAAAAAATTCAAATTAATCTACTTATTTCAACATGGGAAATTTAAATCACATTTTGAAATACATTCGAAATGAATCGGAGATATATTTCATACTTTGCCGGTTTCTCATTTGACATTTTATCTCACCAAGGAAATGTATGAAATATGAATCGTTTCATACATTGTCGGCTATTTAAAGGAATAACATGCAATCCCTAGGTGTTCCATCGAATGCCAGATTTCAAACTTAGCTGGTCACTTAAATAATATTGAACAGTAACGCCTACTTTCTTTTTATCACGTAACTCCGCAGTGTGAACAATTTGAATATGGCGATGAGGATCTTAGCCCTTTCTCGCCGACTCTCAGCTATGAGCTATGAATCAAATTCATCTCGGTATATTGGCGCGAAGCGCCACTCGCCGATTCGTCGAAACTATGTGGTCATAAGCTAAAAAGTCCTAAGTTAACCTTAAAAAGGTAAACTGTAAAGTTCAGAATTGAGTCTTTGATGGAGTTCAACGTCGATTGAGGGGATGAGGCATCAGTTGGAAGGGGAGACCCACTTTAGTAGCGTTTGCAGCAGGGACACCACTTCCTGGTCTTTCATGAGATCTTGTAACTCCTTCACTAGTGATACAAGTCGATGGGCTGTGGTTGCAGGAGTCTTGGCTTTGGTCTGGATATTCTTTTTACTGGGGCGGGCCTCGCACCCAGTAAAGTTGGAGGTATGGCTATTTCCACAATTGCAGCAGGTTGCTGGAGTATCTCGGCTCTTAGTGCACTGATAGGAAAAATGCCCTTCGGCACATTTCATGCATCTTGGATTTTCTGTACACGTACGCTGAGAGTGTCCGTAGCCCTGGCATCGGAAACATTGTAGCGGCCGCCGGCCGCCGTGAAATCTCTCTACGCTAACCGGGTGATTCTTGATCTCCTCCGTGAAGTAAACTTTCTTGTGATTGGCTAGCGTGGGCAAGATGACTAGGAAAAGTGGGAGGAGCCTAATGGCTCCACCCACCCTTTTCTGAAACTGGATCACTTTGTAGACTTCTATGTTTAGCTTCCCTAATTCTAGAGAAATTTCTGCAGTATCAAAGTCCTTTGGGAGGCCTCGAATAAGAACTTTTAGGAACTTGGGTTGAGCTTTCTCGTCTGTAGTTGTCTCAGTCTTTTCACTGGTGTTCTCCTTCGTTGTTTCCGTGGGGGCTTTGTTTGTAACTGCCGGG